TTTTTTGACTGTTTCCAGCTCTCAACTTTCATTTGTCTCAGAACAATTCCCCTTTCCCCAGTATGACTGTATACTAATAAAGTAAGGGCTAGTCCAGAAAATTAAAGTTCAACTGCTCTGGTCTTGTTGGCCAACTTGCCCCAAAAAAGACCACCAAACGGGTGAGAGTTCTTACACCTTTTGGGTTCTTTTCAGAAGTGTTTTTGAAGGAAAATATCTTTTTCAAAGTCAACACAGATTTTGAAACATGTAAACATTGGCAGGCCAAAACATTGTCTGCCTCCAAATGTCAAAAATTGTATTATCCTCCTCCTCTCCTCTTCGTTCAAGTCCAATCTTTCTCTTCTCTCCTCTACCCCGAAGCGTGTGAAAAGGATTATATATCTCCAAGTATACAAAGACAAGAATTTTGCTTTACCAAGAACAAATTGCAATGTCGGCATGCTGACACGAAACTAAGAATCTTAGATTCATTCCCCAATTCTTATTGTCAATTGATAAAGACATGAAAACACGTTAAGCATAATCTTACAAATACATTGTATATATATAAATAAACATAATCTCAATAATAATATGATAATAATACGATTATTAAGATATAATTTTTCATTGTTGCATGCTAGTGCCACTGACCAAGCCGATGCCGGCCCTACTAAGAATGGAATTTTCGAGTACATGAGAAAACGAGAAGGAGCACAAAGGGGGGGTGTTAGTTAAAGAAAGTGAGCTCTTAAGTTCAAAATTTTCAAAAAAGCTTAACCAAGAATTCAAGTCAAACTACAGAATCATCGAAGATTCGGCCCCTCTCTCTTTTTCTTTTGCTCCATGTTTAATTTAGATCTGTATCTTCAATTTGTCGCTTTGCATCAAGAGATTAAAATGGTGGAGCCCTTCATAATGGAATGGTGAGCCTAAATTGTGTAACCATATTTTAATATGTTTTCTATGCATTCTTTTTTGGTAATAGTCTTTATTTTATGAAGAAAAGATGAACTTGTGTTTCTCTAAAAGTGGATGAAAGATAATCATTGAAGATTACAATAATAATGCTGTCGGTCCACATCCAAAATAAAAAACATATTTAAAGACATTTAAATGGCTGTATATTATTTAATTAACTGTGGTCTAGATTCAATCAACTTGATGGGTGGATGACTATTCCAAAACCGGCTTACAAATAGAAAATAGACGAGGGAAGGAAGGATATCTTTGGAATATAGAAATAATAAAAGACATATTATAGAAATATGATAATACACATACTAGGAAATCTGGGTTCTTTTCTAGAGAATGGAATCGTTGGTTTTAACTTCTATCTTTTACTGGAAGGGGAAATAATGTGTCTAGTGGGAATGAAACATGGCCTACCTCTCACCCCTCTTACCTTACCCACCCATCACCTTCTCACTTTTCTCAGGTTCTTTCCCAGCAGAGCCAAGATTTTCCCTTTTTTCTTTTTGGTTATTGCGATTAGTCTAATTTGATCACCACCATGCTGCTCGGAAACATTTGAATAAATTCTTCATATGTTATTCATTTATAAAATTTAATTGCTTTGAAAAACTTCTTAAAATTTGTATTTTTTTTCTAACAACTTATTATTAATCATGTAAATCAATCTCCACAATGGTTTGGGATTTTGTACATGAAGTTGTTTTAGCCGGTTGGGGAGGGATAATTTTGTTCGGAGACTCCTTAGGGCCACTTTGAATCTATTGAGGAGGAAGGCTAAATGTTCAATTAGAGTTAAACATTTAGATACTTTTTTAATTATGGTTTAAATATTTCAATTGTAACAATTAAAAGTTAAATGTTTTTTATTTTTTATAATTAAGGGTTAAGTTGACAGGTGAATAGAATGTATGATACAACAGATTGTGTGAGCTGATGACATAGTAGCTTTGAAAAATATAGTATTACATGTCATATTTTAAAATTTAGTTGTTATACATCATATCATAAATAATTAATGGGGTATTTTAAAAAATAACTCTTAAAAATAAGATGTTTTCAAAGATAGCCTCGTTTAAAATTTTAACTATTTTTAACCAAGTTAGACAAAATTACCCTTAATGAAATTGTACACCATGATGTTACACACTATGTAC